AGCCGCAGAGAGCCCTCGGTGCGTCCCTCGGTGCGGGAGCCGGGCTCCCTCCCTGCCCCGGCAGCGAGTTTGGGAGGGCAGCGCGACCCTCCGGTTGTCTCCTCCAGCAGTCTCGCCGTGGTGGACGTTGTGTGAGCAGAACCGGATTCGCCCCGCGCCGCTGTCGGAGATGGTGAAAACCACATCGAAGTGCTGCTGAAAATGGACAGCATCCATGGAACACGAGGGCCTGTCTTCTGTCCTTCAGAAGAACTGCATCAGACTGACCTAACAAAACATTGAGAGTATAGGAACAACGACACTGAATGTATTCCCTTGTTTGTGTGTCTTGAGGTCTGCTACTGAGGTACGCTGCTCTGCCATTGCCGAGAAGCGCTGCTGATGCATTAAACTAGCGAAAATCATGAGATGGCGTTCCCAGATGTGCTTATTTCTCTGATAAGTGAAAACATACCTTACAGGCACTTGTAATGAGTGATGAATCTCATTATGAAAGCATGCATGGGAAAAAAACCTGTAGGGATAATTAAGTGGTGAAATAGTTAGACGCGTTGTTAGGATGAATGAGAAAATTACATGAAGGATGCTTGCGCTTTGGATTCTGAATATCTTCTTGCACTTTGGACGAGGAATTGTGGAGATGACTGTCGCACATTCCTTCTTCCCCTCCCATCACTAGTGAATTCCAGAAGAGTATTTCCTCAAGTCTGAGAGAAGGGGGTCTTCTTGTGTTGCACTGGATGATTTACTGCACGCTATGCAGGCTGCTGGTTTTCAACTATATTACTGAACTGTAAAAGTTTTACAAGATTTTTTGGAAAAAAAAAATACTGCCCAGCATCCCTTAAGATGATGAAATGCTGATTTGTAAGCAGATAAGAGGCCCTGTGGCTTTTTGGTAGAAACAAGGTGTCAGACCTTTGGCAGTTCCTTCAATGCAAATGCCGGGGTGTGTGGTACTGCACGGGATGGAGCGCCTGCGTTCAGCGGAGCTGCTGTTCACAGGAGTGCGTGGTTCAAACCACAGCTGCTCAGTCTAAGTTGTATATACTTTACCAGCATTGTACTTTTTCATGGTGTGCCTTTTGGTGTTTTTAACCTTCAGACAGGCAGATGGTAGAAACAGGGGTATCCATACTGTTGTCAGTGCCATGTCATGGCCTTGTCCATGTGCCATTTTGTCAAGGCAAGGGGAGCGATTACCAGTAAGTGCGAAGCGTGCACTCACACGCATTTTCCAGCACAAGCTAGAAGCTGAGGTACTGCAGCCGTACGGGGTGCCGCAGGGAGGGCAGGCACAGGATGTACCCGCGGGGTGGCTGCAGGCCGGCTGTCTGTCTGTCTGTCTGTCTGTC